TATTCCTTGGAAAGAGACATCATGCTTGGAAAGGAGAAGGATCAGCAAAGGAGACAAGGATCCTCAATAAGATGGACTGAAACATTGATTGCAGCCATGGGCTCAAGTATGACGGAGATGGTGAGAACGGCACAGAATAGGACAGGTTTGAGATTTGTTATTCATAGGATCATTATGAGTGTTACTTCACTTGAAGGCACATAACAACAACAACAACAACAACAACAACAACATAACTAATCTGTGAATTGAACCTCTCTCTTTTTTTTTTGTTATGCAGTATTGCTTTAATGTTGCACAGTATTCCATCTTGTGTATGTACCACAGTTTCCTTACCTATTTTCCCTTTATGTCACTTACCCCCCTTTTTAAAATTATTATTAATTTTAATGAAGGTTTACAGAGACTTTGGATTTCCATTCATTAACTGTTTCACTTTTCTCTCTGCCCAGCCTCCCCCCTAGTTTGCTCTTCTCTTTGAAAAGTGAGAGAAAAATTCTTTCATTGTTATACAATCCCTCCCACCAAGTCCACTCCACTCCACTCCACTCCACTCCACTCCACTCCACTCCACTCCACTCCACTATGCAGCCTTCGTTCTGGACTCCTGTTATGACCATACCTAATCGTATATACCCTTTAAACAATTCTCTCCCTCATCTGTTTCAATGCAGTATACATAATTTAGCCTCTCTCAGTGTCCTCCCAACCCCAAGGTCAGTCCCATTTTACAGCAGTGGCACTATGCAGTATTTTTCCTTTTGTGACTGAGATATTTCATTCAGCATAATGTCCTCCAGGGTCACCTGTTTTGTATAATAAATAACCTCTCTACTTTCCATGCTGGCTTTGTGGTAGGGAATTGTGCTACTAACTCAAAGGCATGCAGTTTGAATCCACCAGCTGCTCTAAAGGAGAAAAATGAGCAATCTACTCCTGTGTGATTTACTGCCTCTGAAAACCCACTGGAAGGTCCGCTATGAGTTCATTCCATTTCAACAGTTCATAACAACAACAACAATAACAGTTTCCTGCAGCCCTTAAGGAGTTTCAGCACTAACCCTGGCTGTAAGCATTCACCAGTAACTCCTAGGGAGAAAGATGCGCAATCTTCTCCTGTGATTTACAACCTCAGAAACTCACCAGAGGGTCAGCTACAAGTCAGTTCTGACTAAATGGCAGTGAGTTTGAGGTTTGTAAAGTTTACTTTCCATGAAAATGTAGCAGAGAAATTGTAGTAGCAGTTAATGATTTCCTTATGAGTTTGATATGTGTTAACACAGATAACGACACAAACTGACCTATTTTCCTTTAAATTTTTTAAAATTGTAATTTGAATGAAAAGTTTATAAAACATATTGGTTTTTCATTTGGTCATTTGTACAGTTTTTAATAACCTTAACTACAATATCCACAGTGTATTATCATTTCCCCCTCTCCCTCCCTGTTGTTCTGATTTCCATTAATCCTTCTACTTTATTCCTTCTTGCCTTTAGAGCTTTATCCTTTGACCTTATGTAGTTAATTATTCTAAAGATTGAGTGCCTTCCTGGTGTTATTTTTCCCCTTAAAAACTTATCTAGTGTTTGGCTGAAAATTGAGCCATGGGAGTGAGTTTTAAGTTTGAAGGATGACTAATAAGAATGGCAAAGGATAGAACAGGGTTCACATCTATTGTTCATAGGGTCGCTATGAATTAATTGTAGTTAACTCAATAGCACCTAACAACAACAACAACAACAAAGGCCACAGTCTTGGAGGTTCCACTGGTCATTATTGGACCAATAATATTGTTTTGGTTTGTTTTTTTTTTAAATAAATTTCATGACAGTTTCTTTTTTCTCTTCCTACCATAAAGAATTGAATAAAGTTAGATATGTTTCAACTTAGCAGCCTTATTTTGTCATGTATTTATTAGCAAAACTGTGTCCTCTTAGAAGAAAGACTTTCAAGGCTTTGTAAGAAACATGGTTGGCTTTGTGAGACTTTTAGTCTTGAGAATCAGTAGGATTATTTTTAAAAATACAATTCTTCTTTTTTTAAATAAGTGAAAAATTTAAAATAACATTGATTTCTCATTCAATCATTTAAATGAATTTCCTGCTATATAACATTATTTACCGTTGATTGATGCCATTAATTAATTAATTACAATATCCATTCAACTCTTAGGTGGCTTAGTAGTAGCAAGGAGTTGTGCTTCCACAACAACAGTCAACTCTTTATTGTGTGTTGCCTATTGCCTTTCCTTTCACCCATCTTACCTATTTATTAATTGTTGCCCTCCTCTCACTCCCTTCCCATCCCTGTTATCTTACCAAGATTCTTTCTCTCTGCATATCTCTCCTTGTTGTTGTTGTTGTATATCATTGAGTTTGAAGCCTATCCTTAGATGACCCTCCCGTGGGTTTTCAGAGGCAATTAATCACATAGGAAGAGATTGCTCATCCTTCTCTGGTGGAGCCGCTGGTGGATTCTAACTGTGTGCCTTCGGGATTGCAGCACAACTTCTTGCCACTATGCCACCAGTGCTTAGCTTTTCCTAATAGTGGTCTTATCCCATGATTGTAATTTTTGTGACCGATTTATGTGACTCAACATAATTTACTTTAGATTCATCATGTTGCACAGTATTTCACATATTCTTGATAGTTTTTTAGTGATCCGGAACACTCCATTGTGTGAATATGCCATAATTTCTTTAGCCATTCTGTTAATGGACGCTTGGGTTATTTCCAACTCTTTGTTATTGTAAATTGTGCTTCAATAAACATGACTGTTTATGTGTCAGATGGTGCCACAGCATATATTTCTTTGGGACATAGACCTAGTAGTGGGATTGCTGTATTGAGTGGTATCTCTACTCCCAATTTTCTAAGGAAGCACCGAACTGCTCCAGAGTGAGTGCACCATTTTATAGTCCCACCAGCAGTGTATGAGCGTTCCAATCTCTCTATAGTCTCATCAGCAGTTATTGTTTGCTGTCTTACTGAACTTTGTCATTCTCCTGGCCTTGTTTTTCTGAGAAAAATGTCATTTTATTTTCTTACACTTGAAGACAAACAGTGACTAATAGTTTACAGAGTAAAAAATAATTTTTTCCTTTATTGCATGAAGGTTGTGGTGAACAAACTCCATTTGTCTTAAATGGTCTTTCTAAATATTTTTCCCCTTTTCTTTTTTAGGAAACAGAAGCCACAAAGTAACATTTCAACCAGTCTCCCTACCACCAAACAACAAAATGGCTCTGGCCCTAGGCCAAACACAATGCACCTTTCCAAGATATCAGTGGCCACGAGGAATTATCCTACTTGGCACAGATAGATGTACCTGGACATACCTACTCAATCACGTTAATATGAAATGAAATGTGAAGACAACATATATGTCTCCTCTTGTGCCTGAATTTTTAGGCTTCGTTAATTTTTTTCCCCGTGCATGTCCTAGATCTTTTAACTCACACTGTAAAAAAGTGATATCAAGGAATAGAACCCCTCTTCATAAAATAACAGAAATATTCACTCTGTATGTGCTGGTTGCTATTTGTCTCAGAATTAGCTCAGAAAAGGAATATGCCTTCCAGAGGACAATCATTTAATAAAGATTACTAGCAAATAGTTTATTCCAAGGAGCATTATTTCTTGATTTATAGTCTCTACTTGAATTTGTCTGAACTCCAACCGTCTGTTGCCAAGTCTGAATCATCTGTTGAACTTTTCTGTCTGCACAGGGATGGATGTTCTCTGTTATACTGATGATTTGGTCCATGTTTTCAGTTGCACCGATTATCTTGTTACGCTGTCTTTTGTATTCATTGCTGCCTTTGTTATCTTTGAAGGCTTATTTAAATGTAGCTCTATCATCCACCTTTGCAAGGATGGTGGTAAGGACAAATAAACTTGCAGTTTAGGGCATTCTGCATATATCTGAAGCTAAAGGGAGTGGCTGCTTCTGTTTATCCTGCTGGTTATTGATTTGCAACCATAGCTGCTATGGTGCAGAGTCAGTTACTTTAATTTTGCCTTCTTGATTACCCAGGGTGTTTGTTCACCCACAACTCATCTGGCCCTGATGACTTGTACCCCAGGTAAGTTTGATAGCATTTCTCTGCTTACCTGCTTGCAGGTATGTTTATCACAGATATGTTTATTTCTTGAAAAATTTTGTTGGTGTCCATTCTCTCTCTGCTTATTGCTTGTATTTTTGTTGCAGTAAACACTGCTCCTCTGCATTTGGAAGAGTTTGTCTCCAGGCAGTGCTGTTTTTCTGTTTACTGTTAAGCGTGGTGGTTGAGTTTGCCTATGTATTGTTGCAGTCGTGAGTGTTTGTGTCATCAGGGAGTCTATGCCGCATTCGTGGAGGTCGTGTGATCACATGAACTCTGGCAAGCAGCTCTTTGCTGGTTACCCTAGTAACAAAAAGAGGCATCTGGAAGAAAATTATGATTATTTCGATCCAAATCATTGAATTAGATTACTGATCCCCCCCTTTGCTAGTAATAAGTTGAAAGATGAGAATGAAGTGGAAATTTATATCATTAAAATGAATTTTATTTTTATTTCATTATATTAAATTACACTGTACTAAGGAGCATGGATAATTTTATCACAAACCTACACATAAATTGACCTTAAGTTTTTATTGTTGTTTATGACTGAATTTTTGTTGTTTCATGGCAGAGTAGAATGGAAATATATTTATTTAGCTAGGTGCTAGTTTTTATCTGATTGTTCATACTTATAAATGAAAATAATTAGTCATGATACTATTAAGTAAAGGTAATACAATAAATAGACCACTTACGTAATTTAAATAAATTATTTTCTTATACTGTTTTTCTGAAGTCAGAAAATTAATATTATAGGAGAGGGTTTCATTACTAATACTTCATTTTGTTTATGATAACTATAAAGATGCAAAAATCACTAGACTGACATTACATAAGTGGTAATGGGGTCTCTAAGTGATGCAAATGGTTGATATTCTTGCCTGTTAACCAGAAAGTTGGGGACTCACGTCCACCAGGGGCATATCGGAAGGAAAGGTGTGGTGATTACCTTCTGAAAGATCAGCATTGGAATCCCTATGGAACCTGTTCTATTCGGACACACGTGGAGTCTCCATGAGAAAGAGGCAATGCGTGACAAGTAATTTAAAAAATTGTGTCAAGTTTTCCTCTGGACTTGATTTTATCTTTCACTTTGATCTTCGATCATTCGTGAGGGAAATAGCCAGATATGGATTATATGACAGTAAAGTATATTTTAAGCACATACACATGTACAGAAACACACATTATTATTATAGAAAGCTGTTAGAAACAAACCTACATCGTTGTTGTTGCTGCTGTGTGCTGCCGAGGCGACTACAACTCATAGCAATGCTTTGAACAATAACTCTGAATTTTGCCCTATTCTGAGCCAGCCTCACCATCTCTGACATACCTACCCCTAATTGCCATTGTCATTGTGTCAATCTACTTAATTCAGAATCTTCCTCTCCTGTGCTGACCCTCTACTTTTTCAAGAATGTTGTCCTTCTCCAAGGACTGGGCCCTTTGGCAACATGCCCAAAGTGTGTGAGATGGAGTTTCAAAATCCTGGCCTCGAAGGAGCAAACTGGTTTTACCTTCTCCAAGACAGACCTTTTTATTGTTTTAACAGTCCGTGGTATGTTCAATAGTCTTCTCCAGCACCACAATTCTTTTGTCATCCTTAGTCACTGACCAGCTGTCAGATGCATAGCAAGCAATTGAGAAGATCCTGGCCTGAATCAGGCACATGTTAGTCTCTAGAACCACATTATTGCTCTTTAGCACTCTGGAGAGGTCCTTGGCAGCAAACTTTCCTAAAGCATCTCGTCATTTTATTTCCCGACTGCTGGTGCCAAGAGTGTTGATTGTGAATCTGAGCAAGCTAAAATTGTTAACAATCTCAATCTTTTCTCCATCTATCATGATGCTGCCAATTGGCTCAGTGGTGAGAATCTTTGTTTTCTTGATTTTGAAATACAATCCATATGAAATATTGCGGCACTTGACCTTCTGCAGCAGACGCTTCAAGTCCCCCTTAGTTTTGGCAAGCAAAGTTGTGTCATCTGCATAATGCAGGTTCTTGATGAGTTTTCCTTCAATCCTGATGTCACTTTCTTCTTCATAAAGTCCACCCTTCTGAATTATCTGTTCTGCATAAAGATATAGAGGAAGGATCCATTTCTGACACACTCCTTTCTTGATTTTTAAAAAAATTTTTACTATAAATTTTTTCCTTGCTTTGTACAATAGCTTCCTAGACATAGGTTTTATGAATATATAGAAAAGAGTAACTAAAAAGGAAACTTTAAATGACTAGGAAATGAATTTGTAAAAATATAAAAAAGGGGAAGAATTAGAGAAATGGGATAATTGTGTGATGCTATGGAAGACTCTGAGTGTAAGACTCTGAGCCCTAAGAATTCATAGTAACTGCTTCTTTCAATTAGGAAAACAACAACATAAAGATTTGAGTGCATATTTTCTTTTTTTTCTTCTCTTTCAGCTTTAAAAATTTTTTTTAATTATTAAATTTTATTAATTTTAATGAACATTTACAGAGATTTTGGGTTTTCATTCATTCATTGTTGCACTATGAGTGCATATTTTCTAACCACTTGGACAATAAAGACCCCTTGTATCCACACCTTTCTTTTTTCCTTTCATGTTTTCTACAAGTATCTTTGGGTTGAGATTCTCATTTGGTCTAAGATTCAGGAAGAGTTACAAGGATGGTTAGTTGTTGCTAATGACTTAGATTTCTTGGTTAATAGGAGAATTATAGACAGAGCGTGGAATGGATAGTTTATAAAGGTTCTTAGAGGTAATTGAAAATACTTATAAAATCATTTAATTCCTAAAAGGAAATAACAACCCCAAAACCCCATAAACCATTACAAACTTGTGATGGGTAATTTGATTTTGTTGTTGCGTGCTGTTGAGTCGGAATTGACCCATACCTAACCTTCCAGCAGGTTTTAGAAGCAATTAATCACACAGGAGGAGATTGCTCAGCTTTCTTCCATGGAGCAGCTGCTGAATTTGAACTGCATGCCTCTAGGGTTGCAGCGCAGCTTCTTACTGCTCCCTTAATGTAACCTTTGTGAACTGGAATACAGTAATTGAGAATGACCAGTAGGTGGTGATAAAAGACAAGCTTATTGATATGGTAGCTCAACTCCTTGTCCCTCTGACAATGCAACTAATTTAGAAGACCACTTACAAGTTGAAATCAGAAGATGACCGTAAAACATTTGTCAACTAGACAGTGAAGAAACAAACATAAAACCTCCACAAAAATGGTAATAAGTATGATTCAGGAGTCAGGGCTTTATGAGGGAGGAAGAGTGTGGCATCAAAATTGGAGCAAGGTGAAAATGGAAATGACACAACCTTGCTTGCTGAAACTGAAGAAGACCTGAAGCACTTACTGAAAAAGGTCAAGGACTGTAGTCTTTAATTTGGATTGAAGTTGAACATGAAGACAAAGATTCTCACCACTGGGCCAATTGGTAGCACCATAATAGATGGAGAAGGGAGTGAAGTTGTTAGCAAATACAGCTTGCTTGGATCCATAATCCACACTCTTAACACCAGCAGTTAGGAAATAAAAAGACAATTGTATTGGGAAAATCTACGGTCATGGACCTCTCTAGAGTGCTGAAGAGCAACGATGTCAATCCAGAAACAAAGGTGCACCTAATTCAGGCCATGGTCTTCACAATTACTTGTTATGCTTCAGAGAGTTGGACAATGACTAAGGATGACAGAAGAAGAATAGATGCCTTCGAGTTGTGGTGCTGGAGAAGAATCTTGAACACATCATTGACTGCCATGAAAACAAATGGGTCTGTCTTAGAGAGGGTAAAACCAAATCTCTCCTTGGGGGCTAGGATTTTGAAGCTCCACCTTACTTACTTTGGGCACATTGCCAGGAAAGATCTGTCCGTGGAGAAGGACATCATGCTGGGAATGGTGGATGACAGCGTAGGTGAGGGAGTGCCCGTTGAGATCGATTGATACAGTAACTGGGGCGATGGGGGTTGGTGTATTAGAATTTGTGAGGGTTCAGAACTGCTGTACATAGGGTTGCTATGCCTCTCAGGGAACTCAATGGCACACAACAACAATAACATACTATGACAGGTTTGGAAGCAGAAGTGGCATCTACTTCCTAAACTCTACGAACTTTGGTAAAAGAGCAGCTTCAGGCCTTTTGTTCTTAGGGTTGCTATGAGCTGGGCTTAACTAGAAGGCAAACAACAACAGCAACAACATCCTGTGCTAATCTTATTGTCTATGACACACCTACCCCCCCCCCCCTTCCATTCATTACTCCAGTCATTGAATCAATCCATCTTATTGAGGGTCTTCCTTTCTTGCATTATCCCCACCCCTCCCCCCAATTGCTTTTCTCTTTGAAAAGTAAAAGAAAAAATATTTTCATTGTTATTCAAGCCCTCCCCCCCAGTCCACTCCACTGTGCAGCCTTTGTTCTGAACTCCTGTCGTAGCAATAATATCTAATCATATATCCCTTTTAAACAGTTCTCTCCCTCATTTGTTTCAATGCAGCATACACTACTAGCCCCTCTTCTCAGTCTCCCCCAACCCCTATGTCAGTCCTCTTTTATAACAGTGGCATTATGCCATATTTGTCCTTTTGTGCCTGAGATATTTCACTCAGCATAATGTCCTACAGGATCATCCATTTTGTGTAATATTTCATGAGTTCCTTGTTTTTCAGTGCAGCGTACTATTCCATTGTGTGAATATACCACAGCTTCTCTGGCCATTCGTTTGTTGATGGGCACTTGAATTGTTTCCAACTCTTTGCTATTGTGAACAAAGCTGAAATAAACATAGGTGTGCATGTGTCTATTTGGGTGCAGATTATTTTTTAATTTTATTTTATTATTTTTTAAATTACTTGTGTGTGTGTGTACCGTCAAATCAGATCTGACTGGTACAGGTGGAGACTGCCCCTCCTTCTCCAGGAGAGCATCTGGTGGTTTCGAACCGTGCACCTCTGGGATTGCAGTGTAGCTTCTTGCCACTAGGCCACCAGAGCTCCCTGCAGATTATTTTTTTATGATCTTGCCAAGAATGTTCTACTAGAGACTCTCACCTGCATGTTCCAAGCTGTAAGAAAAAAATGTTACTTGCACAGGCAGTTTTATTTTAAAAACAGACTATCTTAACTTGTAAGATATGTATAATTGGAGTAATTATTTTTTCTTTTTTAGTGAAGAACTCTGGGGTTCGAGTTTTAGGAAGAACTGGCTTTTAGGTCTTCCTGAGACCTTGAAGGGTTACTGTTGCCTGGGGTCTTCAGTGTGTGCTTGAGGGAGGCAACGGGAATGATAGAAATTACTGACAAACCAGATTGAACTTCTTCCCACTCTGGCCTTTTTGGTCCTCTTCGGCTGGATCAGCAAGTTCAGGCATCCTTCCGGCTGGAAGATGTTTAAAGACAGCACTATCTGGAGGTATCTGGCATTCTCTGTTGTTCAGTACCTTGGAAGCACTGTCGACCAGTTGAGTTTGTGCCAATGGCTTAATCTATCTTTTGTAGTCTCTTCCTAATGCCAGGGATGCTCTGGGAAACAAAAGTCAGGCTAATCAATCAGACACTAGCTGAGTCTTCTAGGCCAAGGTCCATGTACTTACAGGAAGCTAGATGTAACCTTTCAAAACTGGAAAGGATTTCTATTTGGTTGTTGCAGAGCAGCTCCTGTCCTTTTCAGGCTTGGAGCTTCTTTTTGTCTTTTCTGCCTTTAAGACTACTTTTTATGCTATCCTTGCCATGGGCTTCTGTCCTTTGAATGCTAATTAGGCTTAGTGAAGCAAATGTTTTAGAATAGTCCCCATGAAGGCAAGTTGCTATTTGTCTCTTCTCTTCACCAGCGAGAAGCTTGATTAAAAAACTTGAATCTCTGCTCACCTAGCAAAGAAAATAGTGATTATTAAGTCTGTTATTTTAATAGACACCTTTACAGGAATAGTCTGAATTTTTCTACTTTGTACGATCTGAGACAGAAAAAGAAAATGCTCTTCATAAGATCTTTGAGAAAAGAGAATGCTATTCATAAGATCG